GTTATACTTGTTGAATCTCTTTCATCCTTGCAAATGGTGACAATTTTTTAGTAGGATGACTTTTCTTTCCACATAGCTGTTGCATTTTCTTTGTCAGGATGTATCAGTATCAAATAAGGGATAGAAAAAGAAAGTGTAATATCTAGTGTTTAACAAAATGGGGTTTTATATTTTGAAATGCTTTACTGTAACTCTGTAAGAATCCTCATGCAACTTTAAGTTAATGGTACATTTTTTTTGTAGGACACTGCGTCGATTCCTGGAATTGTATCCCTCACTATGTCAGCACTTCTTTGAGTTATAGATCGAGATGGAGGAAGCAAGGAGCAGTTCTGTTTCTGGTTCAACTGAAAAGATTACGGTAAGGAAGTAAGCAATTGAGGTTTGTTCAAACTTGCTCATGAATACCTTAACTAGGAAGAGTGAGTAGTTATAGGATGTATGAGAGGAATAAGTATTCCAAAGCATACATGGAGATAAATTCTAGCAAAATGGTGTATTATAGATTTCTGTTCTGAAGAACCAAATGTTTATTGCCTCCGTTTCCAAAAAAAGTTCTTTCATCAAGGTATGCAACCTTTAAATTTTGGTCAGTCCAACTTGTATTTTTAAGTTATTTGTTTGTTCAACTGAATTCGACATTTTGTTGGAATATGACTCTTCTTAGAAGTCTACAATTTTTTTTGACAAGGGACTCTTTCTTTTGGGACTGATGCGATAATTTTTTTCTATTCTGAAGAAACGAATATATGATGTTCTGGAGAAGGAACAAACTCTCCTTAAATTTGCTTTATTTTATCATATCTGTGTTTCACCAAACTCAATAGGCGGAGAAAGATGAACTTCAAAATTTGTGGCCTTGGAATCATAGATCATTTTCCAGAGGTGATGTTTATGTATAAGCCCAAAGAGGAATGTTTTCTTTTTCTATGGGAGTTTCATTCACTACCTGTGAAACTCAAATCTAATTGTAAATGGACAATCGTTTCTGATTTCAAGAATCTATAGTGAAAACATGACATCCCTTTCTATGTATAAAAAAGTGAAAAACGTGACAACAATTCATATTTTTGATTTATTTTTAGGTCTTTCTTGTAGGGTCCAATGAAAAGACCTCGGGGGGTAAGCCTGTGCCCTTTTTATAAACTGATGAGCTCCTCAGCATTAGCCTTCTGAAACAAATATTGAGGTAATGTCTCACATTTATTTCATTTTTTGTCCCTCAATTCGTTATTCACTGCCTATTTATTATTTACTTATTTCAAAAACGTTGCATTTCTACATTTTGTGGTGAAGGTATGAATGACGGGAGTTCAAGTGAAGATAAATCTTTCATTATTAAAGTGGCGCATCTGACGAGAAATTTTCTCTATAAACGTATGCTCACACATTTTTATCCTTATTTTATTCATTTTATCTTATTTTTTTCTTCCCTTGTCTATCTTCTCTGTTTGACATCGATATCATAGATCGATTCATGTTAGCTGACCCTAAATTCTTTTGGGATTGAGGCTTGGATGTTGTTGTTGTTGTACACACACATAAAAGATGTTGAAGACCCTGATGATGTGGAGACGTGTTTAGCAGAACTCCAACGCATTACTGAACACAAGCATCTTGTTTCGGTCAAAATGATGTTTACCCAATTGAATAAGATACTTTATGGAAACATGCATTCTAGTGTTTACCCAATTTCAAAGCGTGTAAGTGTGACAATGAGACATGCATTTGATACATAGGCCTTCAGTGGAACCCGTGTTTGGCCAATTTTGTAACATGGCCTGATTGATGCATCTTTTTTTACTATTTTCCAGTTAACTAGACTTGGATGTTAGGTGTGATATTGTGATTGTTAATTAGATAAATCAGTGCACCAAACTCCCCTTTCTGAATTTGTCTATGTACACCCTCCTTTTTTTGCCTCCGTCAATCTCATTCTGTCCTGAATCTCTGATCGTACAAGACAATGCCCCATACTCATCCCAGTTTCGTCCTGGCATGTGAATACTTCGTACTACTTTAAGCACTACCAATTGCATCAATTTTTAAGACAAAATAGTATGCAAATCTTACATCATAAGAGGCGTTTTTATATGCGAATATGCTACATTTCAGAAAAGCATAACTATGCAAGAAAGAATGGACGAATTACTCTCCTCCCCTTTCTCTCTCTCACACTTTCAAGCACTGCCTTCTCCAATAATATTGCATTCCTTATCCGGATCGACCTGCCGGAGCTCAGACCTGTCAAGTATGGCGGAGAGAGAGGGACAGAATGGAGATGATCGGAGTGAGACTAGTGACTACACGTCAGAGGACGAGGGGACCTAAGACTACAGGCGTGGAGGCTACCACGCTGTCCGAATCGGAGATACATTTAAGCACGGGCGTTGCATAGTCCAGAGCAAGCTCGGTTGGGGTCACTTCTCACTGTCTGGCTAGCTTGGGACACTCTAAAATCCAAATATGTGGCCCTGAAATTTCAAAAGAGTGCTCAGCATTATACTGAAGCAGCAATGGATGAAATTACAATACTAAAGCAAATTGCTGAAGCAGACCCTGATGATACTAAGTGTGTTGTGAAGGTACTGGATAACTTTAAACATTCAGGACCTAACGGTCAACACGTTTGCATGATTTTTGAGTACTTGGGTGATAATCTGCTGACCCTCGTTAAGTATTCAGACTATCGAGGGATTCCTATTCACAAGGTGAAGGAAATTTATGCCCACATTCTAGTGGGTCTAGATTATGTTCATCCTGAACTCTCTATAATACACACAGACTTAAAGCCAGAAAACATTTTACTTCTATCGATGATTGATCCAGCCAAAGATCCAATAAAGTCTTGCGCCACTCATTCTCCCATCCAGTAAAAACAAGGTCTCAGAGACTGGGTCTTCAAAGGAGAGTAGGAGCTCAAATGGTGATCTGACAAAAAACCAGAAGAAGAAAATCCTGAGAAAAGCTAAGAGAGCTGCTCAAAGATATGCTGGAAAAGAAGTTTCTGATGAACTGGCCTGGATCCAGATAATGAATTAGGCACTCCTGAACATTCTAATCATGATGAAAATCCAGACGGGGACTTAAATGATGATCAAACTGAGCGTAAATCCCAAGAAGATGTACCCAAAAAAACCAGCGGAAACTTAATAGACGGGGAACCAAGGAATTCAGAAACATAAGGCAGAAGCTGTTAGCTGAAGTGGAACTCAAATGCAAATTGGTCGATTTTGGGAATGCATGTTGGACTTATAAACAGTTTACAAGCGATATCAATTATTCATGCATGGTCACTATAGGCACTGCCCGCACGTGACTTTTCACCGATTGTTATAATTAGATGCGAATATCTAGTTGTAATAATTTGAACTATGATTGATCCACTGTTATTATTCTCAATAAAATAAATCAAACTTTTGCAAAAACGACCGTAGGTAATACTCCGTCCATATTTGTTGACATGCAATATTTTTAGAATAATATTTTATTACATGAGTCATTGTACTATTATGAAAATCGAACGCGTATACTGTACGGCCGGCTGTACAGTGATCACTGTACAGCCAGTGACAAAATTGTAATTTTTGTGAAAATCGCGGATTCTCCTAAATGAGCATTTATGCAACTTTGATGAGCATCAATCCTGTTCTTTTGAGTATTAGCCTATTAGGAGCCTAATGGTGAGAATCAGTGATCTCTGATTCAAATCTTATATATCACTTTTGGTTTATTATTTTTTCGTTTAGTACGATACATTTGAAATGTTCAACATTTTAAAATGAGCATACATAACTTACAAGTTAGTATCAAATAACTAAAAGGTTCATTTGTGTGTGCTCATTCTTTTTAGGCGTTATACTCATTTGAGTTTAACATAAAACTCATTTCATTTAAAATGAGTATTAAGCAAATATCAAATGAGTATACATAAATTACAAAATGAGCAATCATAAAACTCATTCGAAATGTCTACTATGCTCATAATTTCATTTTGTATAAAAAACTGTGGCAGCCCATGTAGCAGACCAGTAATTAGCAGAGACGGGAAAATAGAGTGTGAAGAATAGGAATCGCTCACAGGGGTAGAGCCGTCTCTGCGTCGGCTAAGAATCTCAGTCGTGACTCGTGAGTTGCACTTGGAAGCTTGGCTATCGGTGATCTGCGTTCGTGAGTTGCACCAGACTTTCGATCTGCCGTCCTTCATCGTCTTCGTTGGTGAGTTGCAGGGCTTAATCGCGAGTTGCAGGGCTTAATCGCGGAGATTTAATTACAAAAAAACCCATCTGTACGGTGAGCACCGTACGACGGCCGTACGATGTATTTTACCATGAAAATCTTTCATTCAATAATATTTAAATTCCCTTAATTTTATCCCTCTTCATCCTTTATCGTACATTTCATATTTCTCTCCTACTTTCTGGTTATACTTTTTCTATGATATTTAAAATTTCTATTATATATCAAGTTTTTAACTAAATCAACTTTCTTAAAATTATAAATGAACATCTTATTATTATAAATTGGCAAAACCCATATAGTCTATATACTAAATCGTAAACGTTAACCTATAAACAATATCCTTATATAGTTTCAAGTAAATAAATACAAAAGGTACATCATTTCTTATTATAATCAATTTTCTTAATATTATAAAATTAGCATCTTATTGTTATTAATTGGTAAAACCTAAACTCTATACCCTAAATCCTAAACATTAAACTATAAACAATAATTTTAGGTTATTTATCGAATAAAACCTTGATATCTTATTCTAAACGTTAAATTATTATTCTTTTCATCCCATAAAATTCTTACCACTTATTTTTTGGATGTCCCAAAAATTCTTCCCATTTTTCATTTTAAAAATTTGTTTGATTAACATTCATTTACATTTCTTTTGCCAATCACAATTATAGAATTTCACTTTAATCATAATTTTTTAAATTTTAATCCAAATTAAATTGGGAAAAGTTTTATGAGAAGGGTACTACATCTTCCGGAATATTGACGATCACTGAGCCACTGAGGTTGCGCGCGGTTCCTTCTATTTCCCGCCAAAAAACATAAATCTCCCCGTCTTTCTTCTCTCCGCCGTCTGCACAGTGCGTCCAGCGCCACTCACATCTGAAGATCTAGACCAGCTGAAGAATTTCCGTGATATGGATATGGACTTTCCTGATCCTTCTGAGCTCGAATGGCTCGAATCGAACTCTTACCACATTCACGATGACCTTGAACTGGAAGAAGATTTCTTGCAACCACCGTCCCCGCCGTCAGAGCCCGATGAAGAAACCACAGACCAAATTCCCACAAAAAGCGCCGACTCTCCCCTACCCAGAAACCCCTCACTTCAATTACCCCCCAAACCCACCCTCGCAATCCCGCCCAAACCCCCAACGCTTCCCAACCAGACCAAGAAACGGTTCCGACCCGACCCAGGGCCAGTCCTTGCCGAAAACGAGGCTTCAACTGAGGAGAAACGGAGCAGGGTGGAAAGAATGGAAAGTGAAGCCGATGAGGATTGGCTCCGCTACTCGCCGCCGCCTGCTCCAGAGGTGGTGGAGAAAGAGGTGGAAAAGGAAAAGACTTTGTCGAGGTACGCTATGGAGATTGACGGGGATTGTGTACCAGTCACAGGACATGATGGGGAGAGGGTTTATGCCAAGATATGCAGACATCATATGAAAGAGAGGATTGGGAAGTTGGACACAAAGGGTGAATCTACAGGTGAGTGAAGTAGAACAGTACATTACATGTTCACGAGAACTAATACAATTCTATTTTCTCTTCTTTAGGCTGATATGAGTATTCTTTTTAATGATCTAATGACACATATCAAATGTGATTAAGCCGTTTACTCCGTATTAAGGAGTGTGATTTTTGTTTTAATATCTCATGAGGCTCTCAATTTATGAATTGATGGTTTTATATTCATTTGAGATGCATCTTGTACGTTTACTGCTTTCTGTTTTCCTTCTGGAGCTCATTGCAAGGAAGCTGACAATGACATCACCCTAATTTTAATGAAATACATGTATTAATTTTCAGCTCTTATTCGGGAGTCCGTCAGGGTGCTTATGCAGAAAATGGAACATGAGGAATTTGCAAAGGTGTGTAAGTTAATACATTGTCCTTTCTTTGAAAATAGAACATGTTCAAATTATGAAGCTCTTTAAATGAAGGCCTTACCCATACAGTTAGAGTAAGGATCTAATAAAGCACTGTACTTTATTTTCGAGGCTCTTTTCTTCTCTTGTGAATTCAAGGCAGTTAATTTTACTTGCTCTGCACCATAAAAGTCCATGCTCTTTCTTTAAAGATGACATTTATTTGCTATCAAAGTTGTGGATCTTTTGCCATTCATGCAAGATAACTACATAGCTACTCATTTTCCCTCTGTCTGTACTTGTGCAAAAACATTTTGGATTTTTAAGCTTACAACATTATAATATTGTAACAATCGGAGGAGTAATATAAATGTGAAACATGTCCCGAGTGCATTAAAACTCCTACTTTAAGTATAATAAAGGGTTAGGCAGGTGCTAACTGCTAAGCCTAATAAGTATTGGGCTAAGCTGTTCATATGTGGGAAAAAACTATTAGGATGCTACCATAGAGCAGTGTATGGACTTATACAGAAAACACTTCTTTCCCATGGTTCAATTTATACCATTTAAAAGAATAAAGACAAAACAGAAAATTAGAATAAGACAAAAATAATGGAGGAATTTGTTTTGAATTTTATTCAACATATTCCCAACCTTGGCAAATACATGCTGCTATTATCTAGATAAAGAGGCATAAAGAGTAATTGCAGTGCCTATTTAAAGCTGACAGCTTTCCTGGAGATGCTCTACCGTTTAAAACACAAAATTACCCACTCAAGGAACTCACAGGATGCTGACATGACATTTTAAAATAATACTCAAAGAACTTGAGGAATGGTATAAAAGTATTAATGTAATATGATAAAAAATGTAAGCGTTAACACCGGAAAGAATATTATATCTTCTATTTCTTTCCTACCATGCTTGCTGAATTGCTTCTGTGTCATTTTGTTTCATCATGCTAAACTCCAAATGATGTAATACAATGATAGAGGATTGTAGGCTATGAATATGTGAACCAGTGGAATGACTTTATGAATTATTCTAACTCTAAATCATTTTTAGCTTGGGCAAGATATGTTTTTGAATCAAAATCTGAAATATATGAGCTTGTAAGAATTAAGTAATTTAGTTTAAAATTCTAGTGTTCAACTATGGATCTAAATAGTGATGCAGGGTTTACCAGAGCTCAAAATAATTCAGTTTACTCTACTTATACTCGACAAAATATATCTGCCTTATGTTCATTCTCCCTTTTTCATCAAGGCTTTGCAAGCTAGCTGTGAAGATCAAATTGAAGCAAGTCCTCCAAAAGCCACAATACTAAATGAGCAACTTTGGGTGGAAAAGTATGCTCCCAGTTCATTTACAGAACTTCTCAGTAATGAGCACACAAATAGAGAGGTAATGCAGCATATGTGTATGCCTGGTCTAAATTGATGGGATTCACATTTTGAAATGCTATTTAGGTTCCAATCTTTGAACAACCATTGGAACTAAATCAAACTTAACTTACAAGTGATCCCAATTTTACTTTTATTTGTCTGGTTTCATGAAATGAGATTTGGCCTTTCTTTGGTTAAAACTTCCACCAACAGTCATGTTTTTCAGTTCTATAAAGCTGCCACCAACAGTCATACAGTGAACCACATAATATCCAATTTCTATTTACACGCTCAGTTGTCAACATGTTGTAATAACACTATTGCAGGTTCTTACATGGTTGAAACAGTGGGATTCATGTGTTTATGGATCTGAAATTAAGAGTACAACAGAGCATGTCTTGTCTGCCCTGAGACGTCATTCAACAGTTAAGCGTCCAAAATTTTCTGCGCGCCAGACTTTTGGAACGAATAGACAACCTATGTTTGGCAAAGGTGGAGCTCATAATCATCAATTTGAAGAGAAAGACGAATCAAATGATTTCAAGGATGCAGGGGACAAGAAACAGAAGCATTCTGGTCCACCAGAACAAAAGGTCAGTTTAGAATTTGTTTGGAGAAACACCCAGAAGGTGTACACCATCTCTTTCCTTTCTTCTGCATTATTCTGTATGTAATTTAATTGTAGATATTTCAATATGTTTGAATCATATGTTAATTCTAGAGGACCTGGAAAGCAATATTGTCTTTATATGCATTTTTAAGCATTTTCAAACCTCATAATTATCTCAGTAGCTCAGCTGCTAGTAAGAACATGTGTACTGTAACCATAACAGAATTTAAAATCTTTACGGTATTACATATTTCAAATCGCAGTTTTATTATTTCCCAATATATATGTCAGTTTAATATAATTTTATGCACTTATGAAATGATGACTTGCAGATTCTTCTACTCTGTGGACCTCCTGGGCTTGGGAAGACAACACTTGCTCATGTTGCAGCTCGGCATTGTGGATACCGAGTAGTGGAGGTCCTCTAACTTATTTTGCCGACTTCTCTAGAACTTTATTCCTTTAAAGTTGTAACACCTTTTGTCTTTGCAATCATGGTTCTATAACACCTTTCATACATGTTTTAATCATAACACTATCTCTAATGGAGATTGGAGGACAATTGAAGGATTCAGTATCTCTTATGTTTTAAGTTTAATTTTTTCTTTTAGAAATAGGCTAATATGATGAACAAAATACAATAAGATATGGTCAACTCAAATACTTAGCCTGTTTTGTGTAAATAGAGTTTATTGAGTAAATAGAGCCCTTTTTTCAGTGTAAAAAGTATCCATCCCGTAATATTTTGTAAATGAAATCTTAATATGAGTTTTAGAACTCCATATGATTATTCCAATGCGATAAAAGAGGCTTAAAATGGAACAAAATACAGAAAGATATGATTAAAAAACACCACACTTGTTTGGTGTCAACTCAGCGTTGTTTTTGAATTTACCTCTACGGTATTCTAGATATGGTATCATATGTTGTGGGTTTCAGGAGGTTCTTTAGAGTTTGGAATTAGGAGTATGATGACCTAAGTAGTTAAATCGCTACTCGGTGGCAACTGGGCCAAGGGCCGAGTAGCGAGTAGGGTTGAGTAGCGAGTAGGACCGAGTACTCGGGGTTACTTGGTGATTACTCGGCCCTGTATGAATTAACTTTATGAATTATAGTAATGTATTATTCATTTAATTCTTAGGTATGAATAAAATAATAATAATAATCCTAATGAAGAAGAAACGAGAAAGAAGATAAAAGAGAATAACGTACCAAGAGATGAGGAACCACTGCGGGAATGAGCCGATGTTTGAAATAATTTTAAATCTAGACTTTTAAAGTTAATTTCCATTTTTAGAATACACACTCATTATTTATAAATTCCATAATATTCCTCTTTAATTAAAACTTTTCATATTCAACCAAAAAATATTATCATGACTGGCCAAGTAACTCGCCGAGTCAGAAATTCTCCGAGTCAAGAAATGTGCCGAGTACTCAGAGTGACTCGGAAAAACAGGGTGGGCTGAGTCAGATTGCTAAACGGAATGGCCACCTCCGAGTTGCGAGAACTCACCGAGTACTCACCGAGTAGATAACACAGATGATGACCACTATAGTCAAAGATGGCTTCAAGGTGCCCGTTCTGTGGTTAGCGGTCCGAGTTACTCCTTCTGGTGGTTAGTTCCAAGTCTAATCTGAGAACTTTTTCTACAGGCAGTTGGTCTGAGTGTCTGACTTAGTTGTAATCCCGTGTGTCCTAAATATTTGAATTAACGGTATTCTTTATCATGTAAAAAGCATTGTCTAGCTTAAATGAGTTTATGGGATACTAAGCTGCAATATTGCAATTTATGTTTGGAGATGGTGATGCAATTAGCTGTAAGTCTTAAACTACATATGTGCTTCAACTGTTAATGCAGATTAATGCTAGTGATGACCGCTCATCATCAACAATAGAAGCCAAGATTCTGGATAGTGTCCAGATGAACTCCGTCTTTGCTGATTCAAAGCCTAAATGTTTGGTTTGTTTCACTATGTTTTCATTCAAGCATTCTCCCTTAATCTTGCAAAATGTAAGCCTCTAAAACATGTTATACTCATTTTTATCAAGGTCATTGATGAAATTGATGGGGCTCTTAATGATGGAAAAGGCGCAGTGGAGGTCATTTTAAAGTTGGTAGAACTATTGCCCTTTTTTGTTGCTTATTATCTTATTGACTGTTTATATCTCACTAGTAGGTCCCTATTCTCATGCCAAGAAACTTCTAGAACACTGCATCACCATCGCTGTTGGTTACTTGGTAATATATATCTATAGAATTGATTATGTAGCCACTAGTCTAGCAACTAGACATAATGCATATGTTCAGATCTCTGGTAAGGTGGTGGTAAAATGGTGTAATTTCAGACTTGCACTTGTGTAATTCACATTTGGATTTTTTAAAAATTATTTTAGTGGATTAAGTATAACAGATGCATTTCAGACATCACGAGCCATCAAATATTTACCTCCAATCATAAAAACTGTTATAAAACTGTCAAAAGTCAGTTAAAAACAATCTAGTTACCCCTGAATACAGATCGCCTCATCCCATTTGAAGGGGAAGTGAGTGTAAGATGAAAGAGATATGAATGGTCGCTGGCGCTTAATTATTTGAATCTTTACTAAGCATGAGTAGCTGATATATTCTTCTGCAGGATTTTAAGCCACCGTGAACTTCAAGTAACTGATGTTTATTAAATAAATTACAGTTTAGGATCTACATATGACATTATGATTAGTATTGGAATTGACGGAACCTTTTTACTTGCATTTTCCTAACCTGGCAATTCAAAGAAACAATTATCTGCCTTCTAGTTAAATACTCCATCTATCCTATATTATAAGACATATTTTGCTTCTAGCTAAATATTGTCTACCTTTCAATTGTCCATCAAGTTCGGACAACTATGTCAAACATTACAAAAAGTTAAATGAGATAAAAAGTGAATTAGGAAAGTTAAAACCTTGAGGTGTTCAAATTTGGAAAGTGAAGCGCATTTTGGGACATGATACAAAGAATGTAGGAAAAAATGGGACAGAGAGAGGAGAGTACTTGGTAAACATGCATTAGCAAGACAAATATTTCTAAAAAATTGACAACTGCTCTACTGGTTAAGGTGTCTGCGGAAAGGAAATCTTATGCTGAAAAAGAAAATGATCCTCAAGGGGTACATTCTGTAAGGAAGTCCTCAAAAAAGAAGGAAAGGAATGCATCTTTGCTAAGGCCTGTAAGCGTGAATGCCTTTTAATATATTTATAATTGGTTAAAGGTTTCCACTATTCTTGATCCAGAGTTGTATCTGATATGCAGGTGATCTGCATCTGCAACGATCTTTATGCTCCTGCATTGAGGCCATTGCGCCAGGTGGCTAAGTAAGTTTTTGAACACAAAGTGCATAAAGCCAAAATTCCACTTCGTGCTTTACAACATGGGAATAAATTATGGTGATAATTATTATGCTTAGGAAGGTGGTTTCGGAGGGGTAGGGAGGGATATTTTAAATTTTAAATTTGAAATTATGTATGATGGTTTGAAATAAATAAGTGGAGACAATCAAGCAAAAGGTGGAAGTAGCAAACACAGAGTGATGTGCCTATTGTGCGAGTTGAGAGGTTGGGAGAAGAGGTAGTGATGAGACAGAGGGGAAGACCCAAACATATGTGGATTAGAGGGGTCAGGAATGATATGGTACTTCTTGTATTCAATGAGAGTACGACTTTGGAGAGAGCGAAGTGGAGGGAGAGTATACATGTGGAGGATTGATCACATTTTATCTTACTTATTTTTCTTTTTTCTTTTTCTTATCTTCTTTATTTTTTTAGACTTTACGTCTTATTTTTTATCTTTATCTTTATCATATCCTTTATATCTTATCTTATTTTTTTATATCTTTTTAGCTTTGATTTCATATATCGATTCATGTTAGCCGACCCCAAATTCTTTTGGGACTAAGGGCTTGGATGTTGTTCTATTGTACGGAGTAATAAATAAGTGACTAGGATACTAACTATCTAAGAGTTTTTCATTTTTTTTGGTCAATCTGAAATGAATCAAGTTAAATCAGTATTTTCTTAATGAAAATAACCCCTCCTCCCCCCCCCCCCCCTTCAAAACCCATGCCTCGAACATACCCTGAAGTTAGGTTGATTTGATGATATTTTTGGTGTTACGAATGGATTGATGTAAAAAATGCATGCTTATGTATGCAATTGCTTGTTGTTAGTTTCAGTTGATTACTTCCCATTTTACCAGTTCTGGTAAAAACACAAGGTTTTGGAATGCTAAAAGGCATGTGTTGGTTTATGAAATTATATGAGATTGTGCACTATTTCAGCTCCATGCCTTCATTAGCACAGTAATCTAAGTTTACTTTTTATTTCTATGTAATATGGCAACTCAATTAAAGTTCAAGTTTATTTTATGTATATAATCATCCCCGTGATCCCTGAAATTGTTATTTTTCAATCTGATGCATTTCTGTGCTATGTTAGGGTTCATGTATTCGTGCAGCCAACTGTTGCTCGCGTGGTAAACAGGTATGATTAACCAGAAGACTCGCTACTAGTAATACTCTATTCAATGCTTTTGTGCTCATGGTAACAACTATTTTAACCTATTAAGTGCAAATCCCTGGATAGTCATGTGTGTGGGGTTTCCCGAGTTTTCTGCTTGGCCTCTATTCCCGAATTTTGACGCTTTCATGATTCATGAACTATTCCATTTTAAATGTGGTTTCCATGTAATATAGTTTATAGGAGCACCATCATACAAAATACTGAATCATCCAGTGATGTTGAGTTGGGAAAAGTAGATGACAATAACTCCCTTATTGAGTGAATGTTTAGATGTCTTCACATTAAAACTGAAAGATAGAGTCTTCATGACATGCTTTCATCAGCAATGCATTTTTTCATCATTTTGTTGGGCCTTTTTGTATTGGGTGTCGTAATAATCTCGAGGATTTATTATTTCAATAGAATCTATGTATCTGCTATCATATGTTACAGAAAAAGCTGACATTTGTTAATCATAGTGCATGCAATTTATTGTGTATAGAAATAAAAATTTAGCTATATTCTATAGAATTACTGAATGAGTTTACATAACTTAGCAAGGACAATGAGTTCTCTAGTGAAAAATGGTTGGACAGGAATAATATTTTAAAATTAACCCCACAGTGCCTGGGAAAATCTCATAGTGGCACTCCTTGAAGGTTCAGGATTTTTGCTCAAAAGGGCACTTGAACTCATTATTTTAGATAAACCAAGATTGGGGGGTAGTCTGATAATACACTATCAAAGCGGTTAGCAAATATTGCCTGACTCAGTGAAGATAAAACTACTGCTAGCTATTTTTTCCCTTGAGAAACTTCAGTTGCTCTAACTTAGGACCCTGTTGACCTTTTTTTCCCTGTAGTCAGCCTATGTTCCATTTGTGGTTCTTTCTCTCACTGACTCTTTGCAAGCATACACATATTTTTTTCATCCCCCATGAAGTTCTAATTCTTCTGAACAACTATAGGCTCAAGTACATATGTAACAAAGAAGGTGTGAAGACTAGCTCCATTGGTCTGACTGCTCTGGTGGAGTTTGCGGGTGAGTGTTGTTTACAAGATTTTTTCCCCCAACATCTCATACTTCTTTCATGGATTCAGAGTTGAACTTAGGATCCAAATTGATGTGTTGCGGTGCGCTATGATGTTTTACAAATGCCTAAGTTTGTACTTGTCAACTTGAAATTTAGGAAGATGTTTACCTCTCATTTACCTATAGACTTGACTAATTGTTAACTTGGTTTGAGAGGTTTTATAATTTTTTCTCTTCTATATCAGAATGTGATATACGTTCATGCTTAAACACCCTTCAGTTTCTCAACAAAAGGAAGGAGACCCTCAATGTGGTATGCTGTTTATATTATCCTGCTGTATAATTTTGATCAAGTATTTAAGTAGCTGTTCAGTTGCCTAATTCAAGTGTATAATTAATACACATATTATGCTTTTCAGAAAGAAGTTCAGGGGTCATAATTTATGTACCTGTGCTCAACCTGTGATTGTTACTTCTTTCTAAGTCGTACACATCATTATATCAATGTGTGTTATGGATTGTGTAAACTAGAATTTTTTTGTATACAATAGTCTTTGTCCATGACATTATTCCAAATTGTATGAACATTGTTTCCATTGTATTGTACTCTCTTAAGGTGCATATTAGTCATCATTGGAACTAAAGATTGCCTTGATTTTGCCAGAGAATTTTAATTGGTCCTACTTTCCAGATACTGGAATTTTGTAGTGAGAAGCACAATTTATATTTGCAAATTGGATTTAAATGATTGATGTAGACTTATTATTAGTTCTTCCTATTATTTGAGTTTTGTTTTAGATGTTTTGATCAAAATTATATGTTCCCATGTAGTTGGAGCTTAGTTCTCAAGTAGTTGGCAGGAAGGATGCATCAAGAAGCGCTTTTGACATTTGGAAAGAGGTAAATCTAGTTCCTTGGTTATCACTTTTGTAAAATACACACTTTTTGAAGATCTTGCTCATCGTCTATTTTAAAAATTGGTCACAGTCCTTTGTATTGTGGGGTTTAATGTTTCACCTTTCGTTCTATAGATTTTCCAAAAGAGGAAAGCCAGAAATGAGAGGAAACACAATAGTTCGTTGCGTCACATCTCTAATGATTTTGAATCTCTTCACTCTTTAATATCTAATAGGTAGGTCAAATTACTGATATTTCTATCATTGTTTGAAATGATGGTGTGATGCATTGTGCATTACTATTTCAATGTATAATTTCTCAGGGGTGACTTTGACTTAATTTTCGACGGAATCCATGAGAACATTTTGCATCTCCGCTACAATGACCCTATGATGCAAACAAGTGTATGTTTCTAAAATTTATAGCATCACAATAGTTTTTGTTCCAAAATGTTCCAAGCCTTATATTTGTATTTATTAACTTGCAGGCCAAGTCCCTGAATATTCTCGGTGATTCTGACATAATTCATCAATACATTATGCGTACACAACACATGCCTCTTCTAGGTAGATTTTAAGCTATCCTAACTGCATTTGCTTCATATGATCTTCTTCTTTATTCAATTTTCATATTCATATTCTGCAGCTTATCAGCCTTCATTTGCAATTGCTATTCACGGGCTAGTGGCTCAGGTTGAAAGGCCAAACATTGAATGGCCCAAGTCATTTCACAGGTTTACTTTTGGTTTCTCATTAGCTTGATTTCTATGGTTGAATATTATACTCTGTACTTCACCAGCTATCTATGTGGTGTTGCAACATATTGTTGGTTTTTTTGTTTTGTTTTGCACTTGTAGATATCGGACTTCATCAATAGAAAAGATGGAAACATTCCATTTGTGGCACAACAAGATGACACCTTTCATATCTAGACATCTGTCGACCAGATCTTTTGTGGAAGACTCGATTTCTCCTTTGTTACATATTCTATCACCGCCAACACTAAAACCGGTAGTTATCATACTTCTCCACTTATCAATATGAACCAGGATGGTCTATTTTAGAGATGACAGCATTCTGTAACTACTTACTTTAGGCTGTAAGCTGATGTGAACAGGAAATGACAATCCCTCTATTTCAGGTATCTTTGCATTTACTGTCAGAGAAGGATAAGAGAGATCTGGCTCAGCTGGTGGATACAATGGTGTCATATGCAATAACTTATAAGAACATAAAATCCGATCCTTCATTAGGTTCCATGAAACATGATCACGCGTTAGATTCTTCAATGCTTTCTTTTGAACCCCCTATTGGCGGTTTCATAAACTTCAAGGTTTGTTTTGGATTTTCTTAATGTGCTTTTAGTTCTCATTAGACTTTTTTAAACAGGAAACTTCTGTTGTAATTAGTGTATTATTTTTGTCATTTTGACAGGGCTATTTTTCATGCCATTCTATGCTTGCTTCTGCTATGAAGTCAGTTTTGGTACACGAGGTGAGTGCATAAGTTGTAGCTGTGCTGCTGATAAGCTAGTTTGCTTGTAGTTTGTATAAAATCATTACTTTCTCTAAGCTCATATTTAAATAGTTATTTGGGTTCTTTTTTGCGTGCAAGTGCAAACTAATATTCTTTTAGTTTAATACAGGAATGTCTGTAGTTTTGCATCTTGAGTATACTTTAGGGGGCTCGTAATGCATATGTTATATGCATCTTCTAGATTCTGTTGCATTGATGTTTGACTTATATGTACATTTTTGGAAATAGTTTTAATATGTATCCACATGTACTTTAAAATAAGGTTGAGAAGCAAAAGATTTTGCAAAGCAGCCGAAGCCAACTTGGACATCCTACAGATTCTTCTATGGACGAAAAACATCCGTCAATTAGAAGCAAGAATACTAGTTTAGTTCCCTCTAGGTTTCATTCAATGAATACTTCAACTGACAATGATCCAAGTGTAACTAGTACCCCTCGTATCCAAAAGATGAGTGAGCTATCTGCATCTTCTAGTCCTTCAGCTACAGAAGTAAATGAAGTTGCTCCAGCTAAAGCGAGTTCTGAAAAAAAGAAGCCTACCAAAGGATCATTCAATTTTTTTGACAGGTATTTATGCATTTGGATTGAATGTTAAGCTTCATTTTAAGAGAAGTCACTTTTCATCTCAATCCTGATTATTTAGAATCTTACCAAAATGCTAAAAACCTAAAAAGTTGATTCTAAATTTATAATTATCAGAAACATAATTTATGGATGCCTGTTGTGCATAAAATATAAGACAGAATGTTGTGAGAATTATCTAATGAACAAAATCATTCAAAATAAAAATAAATCTTTCCCTAAACTTATTCAGTCGCTCATCATGGACATTCACCTAAGGGCAATGCTTCTAACTCATTTTTACTTGTTTTCAAAATTCTAGATTCAAAAAGCTGAATAGCAAAGGATCTCAGGAAATTAATTCCGCTAATCAAGGACCAACAGAGAGGGACTCACGCCCCTTATTGTTTAAGTTTAATGAGGTATTATGAATCGAAACTATGATGTGCTCACTGCTTTTGCCTAAGCCATGCGATGATTCTTGTCTGTCATGCTGCATATCTATTACCTTCATTCATAAAAACGAGCATGAGTGGAACACATGATATAAATCAGTAAGCTAGAGAAGCTTGTTGCAGGTTGTGCACTTGAAAAGTGTTGATCAAGGTTTTGGTTCAAACATGATAAAAGAGAGATTCATATAACAAATGATTTATTTTTGGGTCTTGTCTAATCATTATCTTATGATACTTGTTGAAACCCTAGTTGTATTGGGCTTAGCCCATCTTGTATAGTAACCCTAGTGCTCTAGTTTTTGCTATAAATATAGCTACTTGTATAGTTCTGCATATTAAGATTCATTATAATGAAATACAGTTCATATAATTCACATGGTATCAGAGCCACTGTTTTAGGCGGTGCACTGTAGTTAGGACACTGTTTTTCCGGCGTGAACAGTAGCCGCACTAGGTGTTGGAGCATTTCCGGTAGTGATTTATCAAATCTACGCCTACTGCCTTGCTCAGCGCACCATCGCGACCAACCCGCCGGAAATCGTACCAGCTCGGACTCATTCACGTGCCTACACGCGCCGCTTCTCTACCCACGGTTTACTTACCGATTTTGCAGATCTACTCCGTTTTTACTCATCTGCGAGCGACACCGCCAGTGTTTTCAGACACCTAGGTCTCCGACGACCTAGACCAGCCAGTCTGGTACGCCTAGGGGTCTCCACGCGCCGCCGCATCCACACGCGCCGCCGCCGCCGCCGCATCCACACGCGCCGCCGCCGGGCGAACTGACCACCAGAAACGCGCCGCCGGTCCAGACGCTCCACCACCGTCACTGCCTTGCTCCACCACCGTCACTGCCTTCTGAACAGACTTCTGCTGCTGCTTGTTCCACTGGTCACAGTAGTAGTTCTTCCATTTTGTTTTATTTTTGAGCTTACTGTTCCGCTTTACTGATTTGCCTGATCTTTTATTTGTTAAAAAAAAACAAAAAAAAAACAAAGAAAAAAAGGAAAAAAATGTCAAGTTTCTCTTCGTTGCTTCAGTTCCAATCATCACCACCGATCGACTAGCTGGAAGTATTAATTATCAGTCATGGGCTATTTCCGTGGAGATGTGGTTCAAGGGTCAAGGTCAAATTGATCACTTGAATGTCGATGCAGCTACGATCAAAGACAAGCGGAATGACTGGGAGAATATGGATGCCTTATTGTGTAACGTGTTATGGCAATCTATGGATCCAAAACTTCATCCTACTTATCAATCATATCGCACATGCAAACAGATTTGGGAAAAAGCGAAGTCCAACTACACAAATGACATCCAAAATCTGTTTTCCTTTGGTTCCAACATTGCTACGCTCAAACAACAGGATTTGGACATTCAAGAGTTTCTAGGACGGGCTGAGGCATTACTGTTTGAATATAATAATATTCAACCTATCACTGAGGATAAGGAGAAACAACTTGAGCAAAGACAACAACTTGTTATGGTTTTAACCTTAGCAGGTCTTCGCCCAGAGTTGTTATCAATCCGTGAGAAAATTCTCTCCAGTTCTTCTGTTCCTACAATGTCTGAAGCCTTTTCCAGAATTCTTCGAGCCGCCCCAATATCTGTTGACGCATCTTCAAGTGATTCCGGGCATGATGGGGGAAATCACAAAGGATATCCATGCCGTAATCGTCCCAAGTGTGATTTTTGTCATAGGATGGGTCATACTAAAGATAGGTGTTGGAAGTTACATGGTAAACCTCCCAGCTCTGCCAATGTTGCCCAAATCCCACAAGTTCCAGTTGTGCTGCCTCCTGACGAATATGATGCTTATCAGAAATTTAAGCAGTCCACTTTGACTTCGTCAACATCAGGTACTTCTACCGCATGTGTGTCAAACACAACTGGCTCATGGATCATTGACTCAGGTGCTTCCGACCATATTTCTGGTAATCCCCATCTTTTATCCCATATTACAAAATACCAAAACCTTCCATTAATCACTCTAGCCAATGGTCTTCACACTTCGGCTACGGGTATTGGGCAAGCACTCCCACTTTCATCCTTACCATTAGATTCAGTTCTATATGTTCCTCGTAGCCCTTTTAACCTTGTCTCTGTTAGCAAAATTACACGCTCTCTTAATTGTTCTATAACCTTTTATGTTGACTCTGTGACTGTGCAGGACCGTTGTACGGGGAAGATGATTGGCGTCGGGCGTGAATCTCAGGGGCTTGTATCACCTCCAACCTCTTGATCCAGTTGTTTGTGTGTCTACTGAACCAACACTTTCCTTACATAATCGTTTGGGTCATCCCAGTCTTTCCAAATTTCGACGTATGGTCCCACGTTTCTCCATTATTTCCTCTTTAGATTGTGAGTCGTGTCATCTTGGAAAGCAACCTCGTCAGTCCTTTCCAAGACGTGTCAATAACAGGGCTGCGTCCCCTTTTGATTTAGTTCATACAGATGTATGGGGTCCGTATCGAGTCAATTCTACCCTAGGGTTTCATTATTTTGTCATTTTTGTGGATGACTTCTCCCGTCACACGTGGTTGTTTTTAATGAAAGAACGTCTTGAATTGTTTCATATCTTTCAAAAGTTTTGGGCTGAAATTCACACCCAATTTGGGCGTTCTATCAAGATTGTACGTAGTGATAATGCTAAGGAATTTTTTACCAGTCCCTTTAATCAATTCATGACATCACGAGGTATGCTTCATCAGTCTTCTTGTGTTTATACACCTCAACAAAATGGGGTTGCTGAACGCAAGAATAGACATTTAATTGAAACTGCCCGTACTATGTTGTTACATTCACATTCACCACCACAGTATTGGGCAGATGCCGTTCTCACTGCATGCCACCTCATTAACAGAATGCCTTCATCGGTTATTGGTAATGCCATTCCCCATTCTGTTTTGTTTCCTACTCAGGCACTGTTTCCATTACCACTTCATGTGTTTGGGTGTGTTTGCTTTGTCCATGATACCACACCAGGAATACCCAAAATGTCTGCTAGGTCAATCAAATGTATCTTTCTTGGATATTCCCATCTTCAAAAGGGGTATCGTTGTTATTCCCCGGTACTTAGAAAACATTTTGTGTCCGCTGATGTCACTTTCCTTGAGTCCTCATTTTATTACCCATCTCCCCTCCATGATACCCCCTCATGTGTTGACTTTCTTCCATATCTCAGACCCATCTCCACCACCCTTACCGATGCTCCTATCGACCCATCTCCACCAACAACCCGTCCTTTACAAGTGTATCAACGACGCCCTCGCCCTCCACCCAATGAGTCCTCTGAGGTCACGCCTGTTGATTCCCCTACTTTGGATCCCACACCAGCACAGTCAGCCACCCAAGTGCCAGAGAACAATCATGATGATTTGCCCATAGCCCTCCGCAAAGGTACACGCTCAACTTTGAATCCTCATCCCATTTATAACTTTTTAAGTTTTTATCGCCTCTCCACCCCTTACTTTGCCTTCACTTCACATTTATCTGGTGTCTGTATTCCTAAAACCACACATGAGGCATTATCACACCCCGAGTGGCGTCGAGCTATGTTAACTGAAATGGAGGCTTTACATTCTAGTGGGACATGGGACTTGGTTCCCCTTCCTATTGGGAAATTAGTTGTTGGGTGCCGCTGGATCTACACAGTCAAAGTAGGACCAGATGGCAACATTGATCGTCTTAAGGCACGTCTGGTTGCAAAGGGGTATACACAAATCTATGGATTAGATTACACTGACACCTTTTCTCCTGTTGCAAAAATTGCATCTGTTCGTCTAATTTTATCCATGGCGGCAATGAGCCACTGGCCATTATTTCAATTGGATATTAAGAATGCATTTTCCATGGTGATTTACATGAGGAGGTTTATATGGTTGACTTTATATGGCCGGAAACAATCCCGACGTGCATGGTTTGGGAGATTTAGTGTTGTTGTTCGTGGTTTTGGCATGACTCGGAGTGATGTAGATCATTCCATATTCTATAGACATTCTGCAGGCAATAAATGTATCTTTCTTGTTGTATATGTTGATGACATTGTCATTACAGGTAATGATGACCAAGGAATTGCCCAACTCAAGGAATATCTTTTTAGCAAATTTCAAACAAAAGACTTGGGAAAACTAAAGTACTTTCTTGGTATTGAGGTTGCCCAATCAAGAAATGGAATTGTGCTCTCACAGAGGAAATATGCATTGGATATTTTTGAGGAAGCAGGTATGTTGGATTGTAGGCCAGTGGATACACCAATGGATCCAAACGTCAAACTCGTGTCAGAACAAGGTGACCTCCTGCCCAATAAAGAGAGATATATAAGGCTTATTGGGAAGTTGAACTATCTTACCATCACAAGACCAGATATTTCATTTGCTGTCAGTGTGCTTAGTAAATTTCTTGATAAGCCATGTGATGGACATTGGGACGCAGCTATCCTAGTCTTGAGATACATCAAGAAAACTCCAGGACAAGGATTACTCTTTGAAGATCGAGGGCACCGTGACATTGTTGGATATTGTGATGCAGATTGGGCTGGATGTCCAATGGATAGACGTTCTACTTCTGGATATTGCATTTTGATTGGTGGGAATTTAATTTCTTGGAAAAGTAAGAAACAGGATGTGGTTGCCAGGTCTAGTGCTGAAGCAGAATATCGTGCCATGGCCCTTACTTCTTGTGAGATATTATGGTTTAAGCATCTCCTCCAAGAATTAAAATACGAAAGCATGAAACCCGTCAAGCTAATGTGTGATAATCAAGCTGCAATGCACATGGCTTCCAATCCAGTGTATCATGAGAGGACTAAACACATTGAAGTTGATTGTCACTTTATACGAGAAAAAATCACAAATGGACATATTACTACTCATTATGTCAAAACAACAGATCAACTTGCAGATATTTTAACCAAGTCTCTTAGAGGACCTAGGATGCAATATATTTGTAACAAACTTGGTGCATATAGTTTTATGCTCCAGTTTGAGGGGGAGTGTTGAAACCTTAGTTGTATTGGGCTTAGCCCATCTTGTATAGTAACCCTAGTGCTCTAGTTTTTGCTATAAATATAGCTACTTGTATAGTTCTGCATATTAAGATTCATTATAATGAAATACAGTTCATATATTTCACAATACTTTAGTTTGATAACATTGTAGATTTCGTTAATGTTTCCGCACCAATTTGAAGGGCGTATGGATATCACATTGTTGGGTAGTCTGTGGGTCTGGACTTGAAAGCTCCACTCTGCATGTGCCTGTTCGGATCATCTGGCTATTCAGGATACCCATTTATTTATATTAATAATGCAAATATTTTGCAGGGTTTCACAAATGCAGTCAAGAGACCTGTCCGAATACAAGAATTTCTTCTCTGATTTTAGGTGCTTATTATGCAAATGATCATCTAAGTCACCAGCCATCTAGTTTTTTTGTTTCAACATTCAATAACATTGGAAATTGATTTTCTTTTGCAACAAAATTTGTAGTCATCCTATAGAGAACTTGTATCAACATTCTGAATAACATTTTGATGTCTGCTGCTTGGGGCCGTATATAGCAAAGGTGTGAAGGGAAGCTCTGGCAAAAAAAATGATATATTGCTGCATTCCCTCAAATCATAAAGATCTTTTACCTTTGAGCTTTTAGCACTTTTAAAAGTGGCCTTGTATTTATCAAAACTACTTAGCAGAGGTTATCAAATGAAAGATACGAAGTATAACAGAGTGATGTAGGAGTGTAGGACTAGCATAGGATATCAGAGATATTACTCTATCCTCTTGTTAATTTTGTATTACTAAAAACTTTGTTGAGTTTTATCCATGTATCATATCTCCATATGGATATTACAAGTTTGGTCATTAATGCATCAGTGCTTCAGTTTGGCTCCATAGTTCCTAATTCATGGAATCCTAGATATGCTAAATGTGTACATATAAGGTTGAGAATGAATCAGCAGATATGTACATAAATGTTTGTCTCCTGTACATTTCAATTTCATCAAAACTTTTCTGATGAAATCTCAAAAGAATGAATTACCTACTAAATGTACATAAATACATCATACAAAAGATGACACAATCTACTCTCCTTCGCTTGCTTGAGGGCTTCGAGGAGGATTGATCAATATCCACAGAAGGGAGAGTGTGATGGAAAGCAGGCCTGTCCAGACATAAACAATAGTGGGGACTTTTCCCTTTCTTCCCATCAGCCCCTTGGCAAATGGATATAGATGTGCGAGCACCCAGAAGCTGAAGAATGCCCCACCAAACAGCTTATTCCATTGAGGAATCACACTGTATATTTGCCTGGAGCACCCGATCACAAGAGCTATAATGTTCACCACCAAGATTGTCAATGGCATAATGAAGAGGCTGGTCCACTTAACGAGGTACAACTCTGCATATATGTCATCTTCATCCTCTGCTGCCGACTTAGAGGTGAGTGTGAATGAGATCTCGATGCCGGCAATGACCTTCAACAGCCCTTGCATCACGGCCACCAAGTGAGCACTTGTCCCACCTATAAGCCAAAACTGTTCATTTCTCCAGAGCTCCTCTAGCCCTATTCTAGCCCACTTCACTTCTAGAAGGGATATAAGCATGAGTGTGACGGTGATGGTGAGGAGATACAAGAGGAACTCAGTGTTCAAGGATTGCACAATGAACATGCCGCTAAAGTTGCACAATGCTGGTATGAAGCAGTAGACGACCAGGAAGATGGATGTGAAGGGGTATACGGCGACGTTGAAGTAGGCAACCCGTTGGAGAAACTTGAGTCGTCGGGTCGCCAAAGCTGGGTTGTTTCGAGAGAAGAAGATCTCGACAGATCCGGTCGCCCACCGGAGGACTTGATGCAGACGGTCGGTGAGATTGATCGGAGCCGTCCCTCGAAAAGCATCACGCTTTGTGATGCAGTACACAGACCGCCAACCACGGTTGTGCATGCGGTAACCGGTCACCACGTCCTCCGTCACTGACCCGTAAATCCAACCAACCCGCTCTCCCCATTCGGTCTTATCCTCGTACCAACAAGACATGACTGCAATGGCCTCTGCTACGGTGGGGGCATCAAGGGGAGGCCGGGGAGCAAGCAAGGCCCCTGGGGAGCGCCCGTTCTTCACAGAGATGTGATCGGCAAGTGGTCTTCCTTGAAACTCCGCTAAGGCAATTGACTCGGTGAACATGGCAGAATTCCCAAATCTCTTCGGCAAGGTCAAGTCCGGATGGTGGTCATCTGTTAGGGGTTGTGTATCCTCATCATCTCCATGGTGGTGGTTGTGAGTCCTCATCTTGTACTGTCCGAAAATTCCCCAATACTCTCTCGGTCGTGGTGGGTTGAACCCATAGAGCGCATAGCGCCTGAACATGCAGCCAGTTCCCACGTACACTGGACCTTGGAGACCATCCAACGCTCTCATGTTTCCTAAATTTACATGTGAACAGATTGTATTACTTACGTTTCTCTGCGAAACAATAAGGAACTATATATACACACACATATAGGTTTACCATCAAAGAAGACGGTGTTGTGATTGGCATATCTATCAGAGGGATCAATTCCTTCAAATCTTTGTGGGAATTGGATGTAGCAAATGCGGTCACCGCCACGATCCATCATGTAACACATGCCTTCACGAATAGCAAGGGAATTGTAAACGTAATGGTCACAATCCAAGTTGAGGATAAAGGGTCCATTGGATAGAATCGCAGATGCTCTAACCAAGGCATTCATGGCCCCTGCCTTCTTGTTGTGGTCGTAGCCTGGGCGTTTCTCTCGTGAAACATATGCAAACATGGGCAGTCGGGTGTCGATGCCAGTGAAGTCTAGACTCTTTTCGTCTGCGTGTCCCATTACAGGGTCATGCTCCGGCACCTTGCTCATTATCTGCAAAATCCCGGCATGATCTCCCTTTTTGTGATCAATTGTTGGTTCGAACCATGTACCCGGCCAGTGTGTGGAATCAGCCATCCACGTGGCATTAGTGAAGTTGACAGGCTCACCTGGAGGAATCACACCACCGTTTTTCTCCTTTGCCACCATCTTTTCCTTCATCTCTTCCTTCTTGTTGTGAGTGTCACATCTTTTCTTTATAACTTCTGGCAAACCATTGATTCTGACTTTGAATTCATCATACTCCCTCTTGATCCAACGCCGATCTTTCACAAAATCTAGACGCTTCTTGTCTTTAGTAGGATCCCTTTTCTGATTGAAATAACTGTCTGGATTCCTAGGTTCAATTTCGTGTTTTCGACAGAATGGCACCCAAATCTGTGATAATGATAATAATAACATTAATAATAGCACCCACTAGTTATTAGCAATTGTTGTGACAAATGCTAGTTTTTTCTAGAGAAGACTATAAAGAACATACACAAATGACATAAGATGAACAATAATAAAAACAATAGCTTCAGACCTATAAAGTACCAACATACCCGAGCAAACTCGACAGCCTCAGCCATGGCCTCGAACGTAAGGATGGCGCCCCCATCATCAGAGATGTAAATGGAGAGCTTTTCAACGGGATACTCACAGGCCATGATAGAAAGGATAGTGTTGGCGGTGACAAGAGGCGGCTCTTTGTCAGGGTCGGCCGTGGAAATGAAGACATCGACTCCGGGGAGATCGGAGCGGCCTTCCGGGTTAGATGGAGACGGGGTCTCGAACTTGTCCTTCAAAGCTGCCAAGTCGGCGGCCCGGTCTATGGGATTGATTTTGGGCAATATGTCAAGAAGCCATGAAAAGGCAAACCACACTTCACACACAATGGATATTGCCCATAACCACATGGCGTCTTGGTTTGGGTTCTGAAATCGCCATACCAGAAACATGAATAGACCTACTAGCCGGATCACGATCAACAATCTGTCAATTTAATGCTTCTTTAGTTCTACCTTCAGTTCTTGAGCTATTTTTTTGTTATTTAAAAGGATGTTTGGATGTACTCCTCCGTCCCTAATAACTTTGCCAAATTTGACCGGCATGTAGATTAAAAAAAGTAAAAACTGTGTGGTTGAGGTTTGTGCAGAGAGAGAATTAACTGGAACCACAAATTCTTTACTTAAAAGGGAAAGTGAAAAAGTTAGTGGGACATCCAAAAAAGGAAAATTGACAAAGTTATAAGGGACCGAAGGAGTATTTGTTTGAAATCGTAGAAGCACTTTTAATGGTTCAAATTAGAAGTGGCACGGTTGGTAAACCATATTTCGATTAACCAACTTATGGTTAAACGAGATATCGGTTAGTATATTTATAATACCATTAACCGTATCATAACGACGGTTAACCGGGTAAACAATTAACAATAATATAAGTTAACCATTAATTGGTTAACCAAAAAACCATTTTAGATCACCGGCCATAGTAGTATTAAGCTTCTACTCCCACTTTTTTTGTCACCCAGTTAATTACATTTACGTATACACATTGTAATTTGCAAAGTTATTTTTAAAGGAGATCACAGACTATTATTGTTTCTCAAATGATGACTAGGAGCAGTAGAACAATACGTACGTAGTACGGAGTATAATTTATGCTTGTACACGGATGTGCTGTAATACGTAGTCCCTCCGTCCCTTGAAACTTTGTCCACCTTTCCTTTTTGGGACGTCCCAAAAAACTTTGTCACTTTCCCTTTTAATCAATTATTTTGTGGTTTTTGTTATTTCTCTTTCCTCTGCACAAATCTCAATCACACAGTTTTTACTTTATTATTCTCCGTTCCGATCAACTTCGGCAAAGTTTTAAGGGACGGAGATAGTATTATATAACTTTAAAAAAATGATTTGAAATATGCATTTCCAAAGTTGAGAAAATTGCCTCTATGATTCCGAATTCTGGTTTGAATAATTCAATGTTGAATTTAAAATGAAATTGTAATCTAGAATTCGAACGTAAAATTAAATAATAAATCAAAATTGCAATACAATATTTGCAGTTTGCAAATCGATTTGTATATTTTAAAAGCACGGCATGGTTAACAAAAAAGTACTGGTTTTGCGGTTATTTAACATGATTAGTCGGTTATGGTTTTTCTTGTCTACCCCTAGTTTTTTTAGAAGATGAACCAACTTTTGAAAACTTGATTTTTATTCTACAAACACCATTTAGTGTATCTTTGATAACTTTTTCTTTCTTATTCATTGTATCATCAGTTTTTGTTTTTACATATAATCAATTTACTTTGTAGAGAGGCCGGTTTACTTTGGCTGAATTTGTAGAGGTAGTTTAGTTTTTTCCCAAATAGTTTAATATAATCACTTTACTTTTTATGTAGTTTCTATGGTACCATAAGGTATCTTACATTTGTTCACATGGACCAATGAGAGTGTTGCAGTTGAATTATTTAGATCTAAATTAAAAATTATATAATGGTGTGGACCACTCAAGTGAATGATAGATACGGTACCCCATTTTTTAAATCGGTATAAGAGTTAATACAACTCATCATAAAATGAAAAGAAACCTTTTGTTTTTGTTTGTGTGTACCTGTAGGGGCTAATAATTCCACCGGAAATTTGTACTTTCCGAGTAATCGGTTTCCATGGTTTGTCCAGGAAGTCAGATATGGACATTCCGGTATCCTGATCATATGAATCCTCGTCTTGCCAGTACGCATTTCCAATCCCATACTTACCTTTGGTTTCAAATAGCCAACGATTGTGATCAAAGTCTCCTGTCTGGCTTCTCAACAACATTGATTTGTTATTATTTCGGCTCATCATCACCGACATCCTTCGCTCCATTTTCCCGCCAATGTCATCACCCCTTCCTTCGCCCTCATCCTCCCCCCCACGTTGCGACGATGGCTCGTTGTGGAACCTTGAACCAGGATCACCCGTTTTCTCCCCGTTGCCGACGTTCACATTGCCACCGCCCGGTTGGTTATCCGGTGTTGGCGGCATCATCACCGTGTAATTCATGTAATCGTTTTGTGCCGACGTCGAGTAGTCTGTGAAAAGCTCTATGTCCTCATCACGGGAGAGGCTCACCACTCGGCCGCTCGACGTACGCCGTGCGAATTTCACTCCTTGGGGAGGACGGCTCGTGTTGGAGCCGCCTTCAGATGCCTTTTTTGGGTTCGTCGAAGAAGTCGCCATTTGTTATATCGTTTTAATTCGATTTGTCCAATCGTTTTAATTTTTCCCTTCAAAGGTTTAATTTTCTCTAAATTCACAACCTATGTTCGTGGGCGTTCATGCCTTCCAAGAAAGTTGGAAGAATCATGTTATTATCGAAGAACATATCTACACTAATTCATGAAAGAACAACTTTGAAGAAATTAAACCAAGGAGAAGAATTCTCTTGTCAAGATGGTAGTTCAATTCATTGATTTTCACGATACTAAAAACAATGTTTCACATTTCACGCTTGGCCTCTCTTTTCATTTTAACAATAAATAAATAAATACTCAAATTAGAAGGAATTGATATAAATATTCATTGACATGCAACATATATATGCATGCGGTCGAAATTGCTTACACGTAAGTCCATTAAAGCAACCAAGAAATTCTCTACGATTATAGAAGTATTAGTAGCACTATGAATGTTTTTACTTGGACCGTAATTTGTTGGTCTGGTCGTGTCTGGTCTGGTCTGATCTGGTCTGGTCTGGTCTGATCTGGTCTGGTCTGGTTTCTTTGTATTTTTATAACTATCCAAGTCTGGTCTGAACTGATCTGATCTGGTCTGGGACGAATTACAGTCCAAGTAAAAACATCCTACATCTATTCAAGAAAAATATAAATCCAATCATAAGTAAAAAATAGAAACAACTACACCTGAATAACATTAAGAAAATACACCTAATTAACTTTATAAATACAAAATGTTCTATTTGGAGTATTTTCAACATGGTCAATAATATTAGCCGTGGTTGATAGTCCCCCTAAGGTTATCCCATCTTTCCTTTTTGGTGAGTCCAGATTATCTCATACCGAATTTGGTAAAATTCGTATGATTTTAACTCATTCTTACTATATCAATTCAAAATCAATCACATAAACTAACTTTTCGTAATAATCGTGCTACCTCCTAATGTTCCAATATTAGTAAGACAGGGGTAGTATATCCGTAATAATAACGTCTATTGATGCCACCTGTTTTATGTCATGTACGCTTATGATAACTTCAAGAAATTCTCTTAGAACTATCTATCAGATTATGATCATAATCCAATTTACATCCTGGCAATGTACCGTCTAGTCGGGGTTGAGGGGCCTTTAGAGGTGGGGTGTCATCCTTCTTTTTTTTAAAGAAATTATCTTAGAATGCTCACAATCCACATGCCTTTACGGCATAACATTAGATACCAAACATTTAACTCCACAAAGATGTAAAGAAACTTGTGCAATTAACTCCGATCCACATTTAACTCAATGGAGGCACAATTGATTTTCAACTTATTTAAAAGATTTTTGCCAGCCAATTTTTTGGGATTGCCCCTGCAAGTGACTAAATAATATCTCCACGAACCTATCATCAAGAAATTGTGCAAATATTATAAGATTTATAAATTAAGATGTGATAGGAGTAGCATATAGAAGTCTTGAGCATGCTCTATTTCAACCTTAATCGGACCATGCCGCTCGTTTGAGTTTAACAGGCCCTAATACTATATTAGTACTTCAGAGTGTACTTAAGTTTCAAATAGATAAGGAGATTAGAATAATGCCTTATATGTGAGTTTGTATCGTTGTATTTGGTCAATGTGAAATGTTTTACCAACTCTTATTCTTGTACCCTATCTCAACCTATCTTAATAAAGGCCGTTTTTCTATTAAGGTAGATTCTATGGTACCCTTAAGGTACCATACCTTTGTTCACATGGACCAATCAGAATGCTGCACTTGAATTATTTAAATCTAAATTAAAAATGATATAATGATTTGGACCAATCAAGTAAATGTTAGGTACGATACCCCAATTTTTAGGTGGGTACCGACAGGGACGGATCCAGGATTTTGAGTCAAGGGGGGCGAAATTTTTTTCGTTAATGTTGAGATGGTGAACTTTTTTCCGCTATTGTAGCAGGGTGAATTTTTTTGCTAGGGTAGCGGGGTGAATTTTTTTCGCTAGTATAGGACTTTGCGGATAATTTTTGTTCAAAAATTTTCATGAGTAATAAATACACGATGACATTTAAATCTATTATATTACATTCTAAATCTAGACAACGAAAAAATAACTTTGATTTAATAATTGTTAGTGCTCTAGATTTTTATTGAAAATAAGAAAGGATATACAGAGTAACATTTTATCAAATTATTGGAAGGTAAAGAATTTAATAGGTACACATAAACCGATGTTTTTTAAATAATTTCTTCTTTTTTAACCACATGAATCCTATCATAATATAAAGAATCCGTTTTTGAATTGCATTTTTTGTCTATGAAGAAGGGTATTTATGAATCACAAGAACTTTTCTTAATATTACAATAGTATGTACTCCGTATGAGATTATTAGTTTTAGAATAATATGATACGTAGTATTGTTAATTCATATATACATGGTGCATAATATATTTCTATTTATGCTAAAATAAGTCAAAATTTATTATCTACAAATTTGTTTTACAAAGTAAGAAGTAAATTGATGTTTATATTTTGGATTCACGTTACATGATCTAATTTTTTTTAACTATTGTGTGTGATATTTAATATCATTGATATTTTACACGATAGAGTACTAATTATCTAATAAAGACAATTAAACATTACAAAATCAAGAATTTTGATATAATAGGTAACATAACTCTTAAAGAATGAGTTGTCCTATTGTTTATTTGTTAAAATTATCTAAATTATTTTAGATTTTACTTCTTTTAAATCTCCAATTAAGTATTACATTATGTGAGCTTATATATTAATTTTGAAAATTAAAAGATAAGAGGGGCGAAAGCATATATATCTAATTAAAGTATGAAAATTTTATGAAAATATTACATATATAATAAATTTTTTTGAAAGTCCAAGGGGGGCGGTCGCCCCCGCGCCCCCCTTAAATCCGTCCCTGGGTACCGGAGTTGTTCTATTAAATGCTCATTGTTAAATAATCTAGGCTTTGAATCATAGTACCATATGCTATCAAAGTGTTCCATATAACTAATTGGTCTTCCTGATTATCACAAGCACCGTCAAGTAAATGCTCTAAACGGTGTTAAAATCATCAACTTCCTATTTCACTCACCAATCTCCTCTATTTGTTGAACTGTTTGTCAACATTCTGTAAATATTGCTTTGCCTCATCAGATTTAATCGGTTTTGATTTTTTAAACATTTACTCCTCCTCAATTTAAATATTTAAATCAATTTTAAATTAAGGAAATGATTTCCATGTCCACTCAAGAAGATGAAGCTTATCATATCAATTAGAACGACGTATGTATTTAACATTTTACTAGGAATTGAAACATTATCAAGTGGTATAACTATTTGAGATTTCAAGTTCCCTTGATCTCCTTGTCATCATTGATCTTAGGTAAGTTACATTATGCTCTCTTATGATATTTCAGAATTATTCCTTACTACTGCTTGAACATTCTTTTATGAGTTTATGATTTTAATTTGTAGTATTTCCACGATCTCATTTTAGTTGTCTTATTTTCCTTTTTGGGTTGTCCCAAAATAAGTGTCACATTTTTTTTAAATATGATCTTCAACATTTGTCTTTATTATATTCAAATCTTCAACCACAACTTTTACCTTTTGAATCAATTTATTAATAATTGCGACAAACCAAAACCAAAGTAGGACAAACCTCTATTTCATAGAGGTTTTGCCCTACTTATTTTTTGTCTTGCAATGTTTGTACACTATTTATGTAAGCTTTAGCCTCTTCGATCTTTGTGTATTTATTTTGTTATTTAAAAACAAAATATCCTCCTATTATATGTTTTCTGCATTTTTGTTTCATTAAACAATTTTAGAGCCCGTTTGGTAACACTAAGATCAGTTGAATCGCTCGATTTTGTTGAAATTTATTAAGTTCTGGTTGAAGTGGTTGTATTGGTTGGTTCTGCTGATTTATGAAAGAAATTATATTTAAAATAATTTTATTAATAAAATGAAGAAAAAGTTGAAAGTAATATTAAACCTTTATTTAAATATGTTTATTGCTTCAATCAATTTCTTCAATTGTCTTACTTTCACACTTTAATTACTTTATCAATGTTCATAGTGTTTTACAGGAACGACATCCAATTCAACTACATCTCTGTTTTTGTAATAATTAATATTTTTTTTGTGTGAAATTTAATATGATATTATATAACTTCTAAAATAAACATTTAAGAGATACTTATGTTGAAATCATTTTACACAATTTATTAAAACTAATTGTTGGGCATATGACATTCGCGCAATGCGCGACCAATTTACTAGTCAATATAATAAGTGCAACTATTTTCAACATGGTCGATCTATGCAAATAATAAGTGCAACAATATTAGTGGTGATTGGTACTTCCCGGTCTCGTTAAGATTGTCCCATCTTCCCTTTTTAGTCTGTCCCATTAAGATGGTCTGATACTAAATTTGGTAAAGTTTGTGTGGTTCTAACTCATTCTTATTGTATTCATACTTTACCAATTCAATATCAACCACATAAAATCACTTTTCTTAATAAGTGTCACCTCCCAATGTTCCAATATTAGTGAGACAGAGATATTATATCTTTATACTCTTTAATAATAACCTCTATATTAGTGCCACCTTTTTTATGGCACGTATGCTTATGATAACTTCAAGAAATTCTCTTAGAATGCTCACAATTCACATGCATTTACTGCATAACATTAGATACCAAACATTTAACTCCACAAAAATGTAAAACAAACTTATTCATTTAACTCCACATTTAATTCAATGGAGGCACATTCGATTTTCAACTTATTTAAAAGATTCTTGCAAGCCAATTTCTTGGCTGCATCTTTGTTAGGAGCTGAGCAAATGTCACTATATATAGTGCCATTTACATCAACTTCCATTGTGATGAATGAGACTCCATCTTTAGGAGTAACTGATGGTTTCCTCATTATATAACCTCTCCCTCTGCAAAACTCATGCAACTCTCTTACTGGATGGAGAGTCACTGTTTCTGGTGTAACAATGGGCTCTAGAAGAGGAAGGATGCTTTCACACACCTTGTCTTCGTTGAAACATGAATCAATTAGGATTGCCCCAGCAAGTGACTCAATAATATCTCCAAGAACCTGTCATCAAGAAATTATAAAAATACTACTGTATAAGATAGGGAGTATAAATTAAAATGGGAATATGGGACAGGAGTAGCATACAGAAGTCTAGATGATGGTTGTGTTGCTCTATTTCAACCTTAACCGGACCGTGCCCCTCGTTTCAGTTTAATAGGCTCTAATGCTATATTAAGACTTAGCTTCAGAGTTTATTCTTAAATTTAATGCAAATAGATATGGAGATAAGAGCACTGCCTTATATGTGAGTTTGTATTTGGTCAATGTGGAATATAATGACTTAGCAGCAACTGTTATTCTTAGGCCGCTATCAATGGCATAGGGTACTCCAAAGTTTTAAATTCATTCATGAACTTCATACCTTAGGAAAACTGATATCTGAACTCCATCCAAAAGTTGTGGAAATACACAACTTCTCAACACTCTCAACAGTGTTTGTTATATGCTTTTGAAGATCTGTGGAGAAATAGAGAATTTGCTTCTGTAACCCAAACTTGACAGCACATAAAGCATAACAGTCGTTGTTCACTGAACACGACCTCATGTCAGTCAAAAGACCAGGAGTCAGTCCGGGATACTTATTATAGAGGTGAACTGTGATTATATAATCAATGATGGCATCCCCGATGAATTCCAGGCGCTACACAATGTATAACGAAAACAACTCAAAAAGATCCCATAAAATGAAAGATGATATTTGGGAGATATGAATGAGCATATTAACTAATTACCTGATAGCATCGTGGGATTTCAGATTGCATGAAGGAACCATGAGTGAACGCTTCAACAAGGAGAGAAGGATCACGGAATTTGTACTTTATCAAGCTCTCAATATACCGCACATTAACAAACTTCTCAGCATTGATAGGGAAGTGTCTTTCTATGGGAGTTTTGGCATAATACATGTCCAAACCAAGCCACACCATAAACGAGAGTGCTGCTAGTTCACCAGAAGTACTAACATAGGCTCCAATAAGGGCCTCAGCAATGTCTGCAACTCTCTTACTCTTAATTTTTCTACTTCCCATGTTGTACACTTTTCTCTTAGGAGATATCACTTCCACGTCAAGCGACTTGTCTAGCGAAGTATCACCAGGAATGGCCCATGTTTTCGGATCAAATGGTTCAGTACGGATGAATCCCTACATGTTTATGGATTTATACATAACCACTTGTTGTAGAGAAAAGCTAAAAATAATGATTCACTAAAATGTATGGAAAGTGACTCTAAGAACTACTAAGATCAATAAAATTCTTACCGGAATTTTTCTATCACATGCCAGCTTGCACAAAGCATCATTGGAAACCATTTTTTCCTTTTTCAAACTAAGAAGCCCCTCATGGTCGTTTTGATAAGTAGTGAATAGGTGTCGACTTGCAGCATATTTTAGAAAAGAGTCTCCCAAAGTCTCTAATGACTCCATGTGAAAATTTTCTTGGCACTTCTTTGTAGTTATTGCTTCCAAAATCTAACAAATACCAATAAAGAAGTAATTAACAACACACAGTAATCATGGCTGCAACCTTAGTGAATATGTAATTAGCAATGTAAACCATTCTGATTAAAGATAGCGACCTCCCAAGTCCCAACATAATGTTTCCCCTCATATGCACAAAAGGCTACACTGATTATGAAATTCAAGGAAAAAAATATAATGGCTGCATAAATATAACTTACCTTAGTGGTGTGTATTGAAACACTTTGCGCACAATGATCCATATGCAATCTTTTCAGACTCCTAGCTAACAACAAGGACTCTATCCGGTGGATGATTGATGGGAGATAAGAGAAAGAATAATATAAACCATGTGGAATTGGAGACATTAATATAGAACAAAGCTCCGGAGGCAACTGTAGCGAAGCGCCACTTGGTTCTACATATAACAATGTGTAGAGCAAATCAAGTAAAGTTTAATAAATCAATTTATCTAAGCAACATTGTTATAAAGAAATAGTAAACCTTTTCCTTTCTCGGCACTGCTCTTTTTAAGGTAATTTCGCATCTTAGGTAAATATTTTGCATTAAGAAGTGCTTCTCTCTCATAGACTAAGTCGATCTCATGCCTGTAATAGGGTTTAGTTTCATAATTCTTTGTTAGTAGTAACAAATAAACAATCATTACTCGCTCCGTCCAAAAACAAAGAGTCATGCTTGTAATGCTGTTTTAGTATTAAAAACATGACTCATTATTTAGGATGGAAGTAGCTTTTTTGTCTTGGTATTTTCAAAGGCAATATTACCAACATACCGACTTTTGAAATACTCTTTGTAACTCATGGACTCTCCTTTTCTTAGCTCCAAAATTGAGTTAGCATCCAAATCATGCAAAATCCCAGTAACACAATACAAAGTATCATTGTGTGGAGTACAAACAAGAGAATTTTCCAACCTGCAGCTATATACCAAACCACTCTTGGTATTCACAAGCTTACAATCATCCATAGATTGAGAGAAGCAGTTTGTATGGTTATCCTCACGGTTTGCGGATGGATATATTATAGAATCAAGAAAGCTCCAGTTAATTGAAGCTTCATTATTAGAACCAATGGTCGGAAGAAGAAGATAATCAAAACTTGTAGAATCCATCACATTACAATAGCCATCTAAACTTTCAGCCAGTTTACTTAAATCCTTGCGAACAAGAGCTCGTAAAAGAATGACTTGAAACATCTGACACCTATGTATCTGAAAAGTAAGATCATTGACACATAAATCTTATTTAGCGTACACACATTTTAAATTTGTTTTCTTAAATGTTTTCTAGATAAGTAGAGATATACTTACTTTTTCAGAAGTTAGCTTAACTTCTCTAAGATACATCAATTGTTCTTCCTTGGTGTTCCCATCAACATTTAGTTCAAAAATCAACTTCTCATCGTCAACTTCTAGCTTTGTCTTAACAGCAAGGATGATATTTTGAAACTGAGTATCACTATAAGTGTAGTGCTGCAACTCAATAAGGTAACAATAGAATACTGTTTCAGGATCATTGCCACGACAACTGATCAGCTCAGGCGGGAAATACCTTGGATGCTCATCGACGTAATCCACAAGCTCTGCGCACAAGTAAGTAGATGATTATAAACTCTTCAACGATATTTCTCCAGTAAGCATCAAAGGGTGCAAGTTCAAATTTACTGAGAATACAAAATAGTTCTTTCCACTATAGTCCTCTTACTATTGTGGCAAGTGGGCATGGCACTTTTAGTATCTGCGTTTGAACTTTTCCACTTGTAGTCCTCTGATTATTGTAATAAAGACATTTTTTGTATGCTTACTTTGACTATTGTGACAATGACACTTTTTGTGCCAGTCTTCCATTTTTTCCCACAAAAATTAGTATGATGAGAAGTGTCACAGTCATTAAAATTAGAGGATAAAAGGTGTCAATGTCAGTATAGTTTGAGAACAAAAAATTAAAAGTTCAAAGACATGTAGGCTGTAGCAAAAGTGTTTGTCATAATAATAGAGGACTAAAAGTGAAACAATCTATAGCCCAAAGCACACACACTTAAAGTTGAAAGAACTCAGACAAGAAATTAGGATGCCAATTTTGGTAATCACCTAATTCTTGGATATCTTCTTTTTCCTCCATGATATCTGGTACAAGATTATTTGTCAAGGCACCAACTTGATGCAGTTGTTTGCAAGCTTCTAAACATGCTAGTTGCTTCACAATTTTGATATCTCCCACAACTGTAACTTTTTGGATTTGGCAACTTTTGGGAAGATGGAGAGTGCATGATTTCGTATCTTTGTCAATATCAAACCTAGGAGCTGGTTTGAAATAGCTGCAAAGAAAAAACAATGATATGAGATTATGAATTTAAGATCAAAGTTGAAAAAACTTCAAATTACAAAGCATACAACTAAAGATAATGGTGATATACCGGTCAGAAGGTAGCCTTGAGCAATAAAAGAAAAGCAAAGATACACTAGATTTCATATTAACAATTGCTCCTGTAGATTCAACTCTATAAGAATATTCATCATATAATTCACTATCAAGGGATGAACATGGTTGAGAAGCATGACGTAAGGATTCCTTCCTCATTATCTCTCCACTGGCCAGATAATTATTCATACGAGCGAGGGTAGAACTGTCCCCGCTAAGAAATTAACAAAAACAGATGAAGTGTTAGTGAATCTTAGTTAGATAATAAATGTTTTCAATTACATACTCAAATTACACTTTCCTATAATGAAGACATGCAATAGTTTTTTAAGCAGAAATAACTTTTCTTCTTTTCAAAGGTTAAGTCTACCAGTCTTGATAAGTTATCATTCAAGAACATCATTGAAAAAGTAGAAAATATAAAAAAATTGTACTGTACATACAAAAAAAACATTCCAATGAAAAATTGAGTGGAATTTGGAGAGTAACTAAAGAAAACATAATGAAGTTTAAAGTAGAGAGTAGAGACACAAACTCACCTTCTCACCATCAATATAAAATCAGAGTTTTGCATACGAGCACGACCACGTGACTGGATAAAGCTACAAACTGTTGTGGAGGGATCAAATCTTATTACGAGGTTGCAATTTTGAACATCAAGACCCTCTTCAAGAATAGAAGTTGCAACAATAATATTCACCTACATAGGAAATAACATTTAGGAATTCAAAATATATAAGATATATATACACCTATATATTTACTACTCCGTATTTGAATAGTGGATAAATGAAGCATGAATAATCACCAACCATTCCTTTACGAAATTCTTCAACAATATCATTTTGAACTCTTCTACTTTGAGACTGCAACACAGAGGCATTTCCTGCTGTGTATTTTGTGTGCCATCCACTTAAATCCGTAAACATTTGATTTAATAGAGTACGAAGAACAATTGCTGTAATAACCCGCTCAACAAATATAATACATCTCAAGTCCTTTATGTTCCTGTAAAAAATAGAGCATAATGATTTTGCTTTATTGACACTGATATTAGTACTCTTAAAATCAATAGAAAGCTAGATGGTTTCACATTGGCACCTGTAATCAAGAAGAGTCTCTATTAGAGATGCAACTTTTGAAGTAAGATATCCAGCATCCTTACTGGTTCCTAGATCATTATCAATGTTGCACAATTGTGCACCTATGTCTGGAGTACATGAACAATAGAAATCAATCATGAAACTCAAGAATAACATGCATCCAATAGTTTTTTCTACTTTTATTCCTCTCAGTATTAAGGCAATGACACTTTTGGTAATTCTCTTTGAGTTATTTTACTTTTAGTATGATACTCTTTTAGAAGAGACACTTCTAAACCAGTGGCGGATCCAACATCTGAATTTTGAGTGTTCAGAGAGTTATTGTAATTAATATTATGGACAATAATATTATTTGATGAAGCAATTCTACACATACATGCATCTTTCCAATAACAAAAAACTAGTGAATGAAGTGAAGATAAAGAAGTAGTATACATGTACTTTTGCACTTTGAATCTAAACTTTTGGGTGTTCACAGGAACACTTCAGAACATGCATAGCTCCACCAATTTTCTGGTTTATGCTTTTGAGTTTTTATACTTTTAATCCTTGAGCTATTGTGAGAGTGGACTCATCTAGCTTGTTCTTCAATTTAGCCACAATAGTTTTTAATTCAAAAGTGTCATTGTTACCGTTGTTGAAGCTAGGCTAAGAACACCAAAGTCACTATAGCCAGAGGAACAAAGTGAAAAATATATCTAACACCAATTGTAGCCTATGTTTAGAGGGTATGATTCATGGGGGATATATAAAGATTAGTAATATGGATAAGAAATTGTAGCTAAAAGTTACGGGAACATTAAATTACCCGAAGGTAAATGAGTTGAGAAGATCTTAGCTACATCTAGACAAAAATCTCTCACAATGGTTTCAGCATTCTCATCCGAATTTCCCCATGATAAGATGTCTTTATTATCTAATGACATAGACTCGGCTGCCTAAATAAATCACATAACGAATGAGTCAAGCGTATACACATCAATAATGCTAGCTAGTATAAAATAAAGTGGAAGAAGTAGAAGTTTAACCTTCAATGCCAAGTAAACACCTAATTCAGTCAAACAAAACAAGAAGGTTGATGATAGTTTTGTCAATCTTCTAATTGTAGATTGCACATCGGACTCCGGTAGATCTGAATTGGTTATATGTTGATCACGCTGAAAAAATGAACAAATTATTAACAACTGATATTCTTTTCACATAAAAATGGAGAAGTGAATAGAAACAATTACTCTATGTTTGGTTATATGATACCTCAGCTTTCAATGAGTGTAAGCCCTTCACTATGCTTTCAAGCATTGCAGCAGGAATATGAGCATCTTCGTATGTTTTCACCTTTGCGGTGGCGAAACGGATGTGTTTAGCTAAAACGGCTTCACTAGCACATGTATACACCTTCATAAACAACATGGATCGGAAGTTATAATATACAAGTTTGAATTCATATGGTGTATATAGGAGGGAAGTATGAACCAGTTGACTATAAAAAGAAAATATACTACTGTAACTTTAAGTAAAACACAAACTTCCATGTGTATAATTATTACAGTTTTGTGCTAAAGATGCAAAACTCTTATGATGTGATCATTCTTGACCAAATCATAGGGTTTTTACCTCCACCCCACACTCCACACACATAAGAAAATGGAGGAACCTTATAAGCCATGCAGTAAAAGAAGAGTATATGTTGCACGCCAAATTGGTATAAAGTAATAAAACAAGGAGTACTATATAAGATTTTAGGTTACCCCTCCTATCAGGCAGACCTTTTAGGATAGAACTTAGACCATAACATGATCTTAACCTATTAGGTTGTGGTTTGATCGTTGTTTACCGCTCATGATTAAGGACAACTCATCAAGGGTTTGTTTGACCCATTTATAAACTCCTATGTTGTCTACACTTATTTAGGTTGAGGGTGTGTTTTAAAGTATTTGTTTACACTGATATAAAGTAATAAAACACTATATAAGAACTTAAACTACACCTCATTAAAAGTTCACCTTTCATGATGAAACTCAAGATGTAACAATATTTGATGGAGTAAAAAGGATTGTGCATAACATGTGTCATACATTACGCTTAAAAAGATCATTGTTTTAGTCACGTAACTTATGACAGTTCATGTTATTAACCCCATAACTTTTGGGAGATTTACCTAAATAGTACCAAAACATGGCTTTTTCCCCAAAATAGGACCAATTAGTTTAAACATTCTTAAATAGGACTTTTTATGTGTGATTGGACCAAAATACCCCCACTGCTGCCCCTCGACCTCCGGCCAGCCGCCTGCCGCCAGAGCTCCGGCCACTGCCGCCGCCTCCGCCGGAGCACCGCCGGAAAATTCCAAAAATGTTTGGCAGACTGCCAGATTCTGCCGCCGCTGCCACCCGCCGCCGCCGCCTCCTCCGCTGCTGCCGCCGCCTCCTCCGCTGCCGCCGCCGGAGCACCGCCGGAAAATTCAAAAAAAAATATCTTACAGACTGCCAGATTCTGCTGTCACCGCCTCCGCCACCGCCGGAGTTCTCCGCCGCCGCAATGGTGTTTATCAGAATTTATTGTTTATTTATTGTCTACTTATTGTCTATTTATTGTCTATTTAATGTCTGTTATTTTCTTGCAGCCGCCGGAAACCGCCGCCACTGCCGCCGCCGCCACCGGAAACCGCCTCTTCCGCTGCCACCGAGCTGCCGCCACCTCCAGACTGCCTTGGTTGTGCAAGGAAACTAGGGGGGGCAATTATTTAGATCAATTAATTAATTAAATAGAATTAGAGGTAAAAAAGGTAAGGTTAGTCCTATTTAGAGAAAAACATGCATGTGGTCCTATTTTGAGAAAAAGGTTGAGTTTTAGTCCTATATTGGACAATTTTCTCATAACTTTTCTTACTTGGAGACCATGTTATGTGCCAAATAATTTGTCCTTATTAAGGACTTCTCAGCGGAATGTACATTATCCGTGAAAAGCGCACTAGGAAAGCAGCCCGGGACATAAAACTTACCGCGAAGTACATAATTTATGAGCATATACACACTATTCAATTTAGAACATTGGTACATGCGGTATAAATTATGAAACTTAAAGGAAATTTTCACTATAGTTATATTTTGAGGGCCAAATGTTGATGCCAGTTTTTGTTGTTGGAAATCTTTCAATATCTTGCGGACACAAAAAGTGTGGCCAATTAATGTCAC